ATCCGCCCAGCTGCGTGACTGACAGCTGGCTCTGCCTATCTAGAGGCAGAGCCAGCTGTACCCGCCCCCTCCCCGTCTGTTCCGCCAGTCAGCGCTGGCGGATCGGGAAGGGGGGAATCCAGCCCCTCCCCTGTCACGGCAGAGAGCCGTGACAGGATCGAGAGGTGAGCGAACGTTGGTATATGTTCGCTCACCTCCTGATCTACTGAGCCGACCTGTGACAGTCTCATTGTCACAGGTCGGCTAGAACTATGAGGTGAGTGAAAAGCACTCACCTCATAGTTCTCCTTTAACAGCCATTAAACAATGCTTGTTAATACTTGCTGCCAACACATCAACATGCATTTTATGAGTTTTGGTGCCTTGCCACGGACTTCCATTGGCCTCCTAACGCAGTAAAACATGGCTATGTTCTATTTTGTAAAACAGTGCGGAGGTGGGAAGATGCGCTATTTTATCTGGAAACACGCACTGTAGCGCAGTGTTGCTTCGTTGGTAGAACTGACTTGTATTAGGAAATAACTTGCAATGAGGTCAGGTTCAGACTGAAGCCGAGCTCCTCTGGGAAATTCCATTGGCACTGCCACCCAATCAGCTGCTGGCCGCTCATTCCCCACCCCACAGCTGCATGTAAACAAAGGGGCGGGATGCTTGTGCTGATGTAATTTATCTTATAGAGCTACAAAGTCATATTAGTTAAATGTCGTTTACCAAATATAGGCATGTAACCATATAAGATCAATGATGTCAGGGCATCCTGTACCTTTGTTGGCGTCAAGCTGCACATGGGGAATTCCCAGCCCACAGCCGATTGGGCAGCACGAAAGGAGCTACCTTCCATGTCCATAAGGAAGTTCAGACCGAACCAGACTCATCCCTAGTAATGACGTGTGCTGCAATATCCACTTATACACGAGTAATACATGTGGAAGTGAGGATCAGACTATTGTGTTATGCTGTGCAGTGTGATCTAGACTGCAAACACACAGCATCTGGTTCACCATCTTCTACTGTCAGAATTTAGGCAAAGTTGTACTCATTTAATAGGCATGATCGTCTGCTAAATGTCAATCACTGTTGAGTGGGAGTTACTGTGGGAATGGGATAGCTCTTCCTGACTCCTCCCACAGGTCAGGGCAAATGAAAAGTCCAAGGATGGTCATAGTAAGATGAGGTCATGTGACCTCATCTCACATTTAAGGCAGAAAAATCACAGCTAAATGAATCATAAGATCTGAGTCATCACAGTCCACAGCACAGATTTGTAATTCCACTTTTTACTTCCTCCAAGTAAATGTAAACAAACATTTGGGAAATATTGTGGATGTCAACAGCTTATTCAACACACAACAGAAAATCGACTACTGTGGGTGGAAGTGTAACTCCTCCAAAAATCAGAGCCATTGATAGTGTGTTCCCTGGGCCCTTAAAGGGAAGCTGTGCTTTGCTCTTTAATGTTGGTCCCACAAGCTGAACATACTGGCCTCTTCTTTAGTACATTTGACAATGGGGAGCAGAGGATTCATTTGTATGTTTTAAATCAAAAGGTAAGGCTCACACAAGGATTTTCTCCCCATCCCCATATGACAGCAGGAGTACGAGTAACATCATGGGGAATGGGAAGAGGCGCGAGTCATGTGCCTCACTACACCCGTAGTACTGTTGTACGTCACTATCAATGGCCAAACAGTGCTGCTGGGGAGCAAAGGGAAGGGTATGTGCTGCTGTTAAAGTACACACACATACTGGCCTTCCCAGTGAGATTCCACCTCCAGCACACACACACTGACCTTTTCCCAGTAAGATCCCACACATTGGCCTTTTCCCAGTGAGATCCCACCGCCAGCACAAACACACTGGTCTTTTCCAAGTGAGATCCCACTTCCAGCGCGCACATTGGTCTTTCCCCCAGTGAGATCCCACCTCCAGCACGCACATTGGTCTTTCCCCAGTGAGATCCCACCTCCAGTACACACATTGGTCTTTCCCCAGTAAGATCCCACACATTGGTCTTTCCCCAGTGAGATCTCACCTCCAGCACACACATTGGTCTTTCCCCAGTGAGATCCCACCGCCAGCACAAACACACTGACCTTTTCCCAGTAAGATCCCACACATTGGCCTTTTCCCAGTGAGATCCCACCGCCAGCACAAACACACTGGTCTTTTCCAAGTGAGATCCCACTTCCAGCGCGCACATTGGTCTTTCCCCCAGTGAGATCCCACCTCCAGCACACACATTGGTCTTTCCCCAGTGAGATCCCACCGCCAGCACAAACACACTGGTCTTTTCCAAGTGAGATTCCCCCCCAGTGAGATCCCACCTCCAGCACACACATTGGTCTTTCCCCAGTGAGATCCCACCGCCAGCACAAACACACTGGTCTTTTCCAAGTGAGATTCCCCCCCAGTGAGATCCCACCTCCAGCACACACATTGGTCTTTCCCCAGTGAGATCCCACCGCCAGCACAAACACACTGGTCTTTTCCAAGTGAGATTCCCCCCCAGTGAGATCCCACCTCCAGCACACACATTGGTCTTTCCCCAGTGAGATCCCACCGCCAGCACAAACACACTGGTCTTTTCCAAGTGAGATTCCCCCCCAGTGAGATCCCACCTCCAGCACACACACACACTGGTCTTTTCCAAGTGAGATCCCACCTCCAGCACACACACTGAGCTTTCCCCTGTATCCCTTCAGTCACATACTCCCAAGAGTCTCCTTCAGACTCCTCAGCCATACACTCCCACCACACAAGGTTAACTGCATATTACCCCGGTCCATGTCATTGTACACCAAGATCAGACACAGTATGGGGGCTCAGCACTTGGAGTGAACAGTTTACAGTCTCTTTCCATCCTGCAGAGGTACATTTCTTAGTACTTCCTATTGTATATTCTAGGATTGTGTTTGTGTGTTGGGATACTCATTGGTGTCTCACCTGTATCGTGTCCGCAGCACACTTCACTCCCCTGTATCCATACCAGAAGTGAGATGCCGCTCCAGTACACAGCACTCGGTAGCAAGTGTTGCACCAGAAAAGCGCATTAACTCATGTGACCAGGCTGCAGTGTATGTTACCTCTCAGTGTTCAGCCACAACAGGTGTGTTAACTCCTTAGCGATCTGCTTCACGAGCATGTGCACCAACCCCACCATGATGAATATTTATTGTATGCACACATTAACCCCTCAGTGACCCGATGATGTCCACTAAGACTTCTTCAGCAATACCTTTACCAACCTTTCCCATTGTGGAATGGGGCAAACTTTGATCATAACACTTCGTGTCGAAATTCAGATTACAAATGCCCACTGGTGACTGGTTCTTACAGAACCTCTTCTTTCCAAGATAACTGCACTTGAAATCATACCCCAATACGCTAAGTGAGGACGTAATTGCTGCTCAATCAGCAATTCATTTGCAGGGGCATACTTTCCTAAAATGTGTCAGTGACATGACCCTGGTCCTAGCGCCTACATCAGAGCCACAAAAATACCATCCCGGAGGAAAGTATGAACTCATATTCAGCTCCTGCATTTGGAGAGAAACAAGCTTTTACAGACTGAAAGGGAAAACTATTTTAAACAAGATACCAAGTCTTTGTTTCCTGGTCAGGGGCTGCTTTCGTGTTTTGCTCCATAGAATTTAGATTGAACCTTGGAGGAACATCGATCTTGTTGCATTACAACTATCAATTTTTGTTTTCCAACCTAGAATACATTTTTCGATTTATTTTTGTACAGGCTTGAATTACATAGCATTTGAGGTTGAATAAAGACACAGTTCCATAACGTTCACCCTATTGCATGTATGTATGCGATTCTGAAAAGGTGTATGTTACCATCTCTGAGGAAATTGTTCAAATGCTTTTTGAATGCTTCAACACGCTCAGCTGATACCACTGCTTGTGGCAGCGAGTTCCAGACCCTAACCGCTCTAACTGAGAAGCCCCTACGCCCTTTGCGGTTAAATCTATTCTCCACCAATTTTAGGTGGTGGCCTCTAGTCTTTATTATGGAGTTACAGTAAAAAAAAAGTTTATTGCGGATGTTGCCATCGCCATTGATGATCAAAATCATGTCCCCTCTTAGGCTGGGTTCACACCTAGGCGTATTGCATATGCGTGTTTGCACGTTTTTACCGCGATTCGCGGTAAAAAAACCACGCAACAAACGCGCGTTTCCGTGGGCTACTTGGCTGTATCCCAATGGGAACGCGAGACCAAAACGCCCCAAAGAAGTACATGTACTTCTTTGGGCGTAGGCCGTTTTGGAGCGCGTTCAGACGGGCTGAAATACGCCCAGGTGTGAACCATACCCATAGGAAACAATGGGATTTCGGTGTTTGAGCGTTTTGCAGAGCGTTCGAACGCGCTACAAAACACCCAGGTGTGAACCGGGCCTTAATATCCTCACAGCATGAACATGTTTAAATTAAAAGGTGCCCATACACCTTACGATTATCGTACGATTTTCATATGCGATCGACTTTTCGTCCGATAATCGTATGTGTGCATTGCAGTGTCCGACCGACATTACTGTACAATCGTACGACTTTTGACGGTCAAGCATGTTTGAAAACTTTGCTAGATCATACGACTGTCGTAAGGTTGCTGGCGTTTCCGTCCGTCAAAAGTCGTACGATGTACACTGCGCTTACAAAAATACGGCAAATCAATTACCGCATTTCATCCAGGTGCTTTTGGTTAATTACGGCTAAATGATTCTTGCGATCGGGGCAGGATGGGGCTGCCGTACGAAAATCGTACGACTATTCGATCGGACGAAAAGTTTTGTCCGATAATCGTAAGGTGTATGGGCACATTAAGTAACCTTGTCTCACAGCTTTGGTTCTCCATCCCACTTAATTAGTTTTGTTGCCCTTCTCTGGACTCTCTCCAGCTCCAGGACATTTTTTTTTCTGGGAATCATCAACCAAAACTGGACCGCATATTCAAGATGAGGCCGAACCAGCGATCTATATTTAATACAAGACAGCACTCTGCTCGCTCTGTTTGCCGCAGCCTGGCATTGCAAACTATTATTCAAACTGTGGTCTACTATGACCCCCTAATCTTTTTCCATTTCTGACTTCCCTTGTGGAGTTCCCTTTAATCTGTATTACGCTTGCCTATTTTTACCCCCAAAGTGCATTACACTACATTTAATCGACATTAAACCATCTGCCATATAGTTGCCCACTCCCCTATTTTATCCAGATGCTCCTGTAATGTAGTTGATTAAGGTAGACAAGAAAGGGACACTTCTTATGTCAGTTTGATAAATGCCAAAACAAAAAGCACACACCACATGCACAACCATCTACATGTGGACCACCAAATATACCTTTACAAATTCTTATATTTATTATGAAACTATGTTATGCTTAAATATACATCGGATCTACTTAAAAAAACAAAACCACAAAAAAAAAATTTACATTACAAATAATATTTATAGAAAACGAAATTGAACAAAGCTGCACATATATGCATCAAGGACAAGTGCATGGATGAGCAGGGTTTTACACACTTATCTTAATGACTTGCTATGCTTGAACTCCAGAACCGCAAGATGTTCAGTAATACAAGGATGTTCTTTACAAAATTACCTCCAACCAACAGATCTTCCGCTGTAAAGACTAGGTCCCGGAATACTTCAGCCCTCTGCATCAGGTGAATCCCCCAAGACATCTGTGAGGCCGACAACCCATTTTGACTGACCGCAGAGTGGTGTGGAAGGGAAAACTTCCCAACAGCTAAAGATCCAGGATTGAGGCATGCAAGTAAATGTAATGCACATCATCAACACTCTCTGCACCCTGATCCAGAGATCTTTGGAGGGCTTGTTCACACCAGGTGCGGAGCAGACGCAGAACAGTTACAGAACTCATCAAAAAAGCATCCAATGTATTCCAATGGTATTTCGGGCTCTAGTTCACACAGCAGCGTTCAGTTCTAGAGCATATGGAAAAACTGCAGCATGCCCCATTTTTTATGCAGACGCATCAACGCATGCAAACGCCCTGGAAAGCACTGACAACCCATTTTAGGCTTTAAAAAAAAAAAAAACATGCAGATCTGGCCCAGATTTGGTGTGAACAAGCCAGAAGTCCCGATGTTCTTTTAATACATGAAGGTATCACTGATGCTATTGTTGTTATTTATACAAAGGAAGGGAAGACATTAAAAGGCACATTGATAACAGCTCCCAGCCATAAAACCTTGCAGATGATAAAAACAAAGTCGTGATCTGTTGGCTTTATGCTACAAAACAGAAGTGATTAAAAATAACACGCTGTGCTACTTTCAAGTGACAGCCCACAACCTTTATAACGACTGAGGAAGAATACCAGGGCAGAGGCAAGTAGGCAAGCATTAAGAACTCTTCTCTATCCAAAAACATTGTCTGCATTAACAAAAAACAGAGAAATGTCAGGAAGAGTGCAGTATATACTCTGCTTTTGTAACATTTATTTCGTCAGGCTCAGAGGGGAGACAGAATAGGTTTTGGCTTTGAGAACAACCATATAGGCATGCAATGGTCATTGGCTGCAGCACCTACAATAAAGACAAAATTCTCATTTACATAAGAAAATAGAAGACAAGACCCCCCCAAAGTCTACAGAGACAAAAGTGCAAAACTCACTGACTATTTGGAAATCTTTTCTTTTTATAACTGCAATATGATGCGTAAAGCCAACTCTTTTTTTACGAGTTAGAAGGCATAACCGCGGTTTGCACTATAAAGTGAGCGTCACTAAAAAAAAGAAGAACAAAAAAAGACCTCCCACACTTACATATTGATCATCTTAAGCTGGCCCAAATTTGGAGCCGTGTGTGGCGCATTCGGAACCCATCCCTACGACAAAAGTTAATTTTTCAATTGCCTTTTGTTGAAGGAGCCAGGCGGAAAAATCTCAGCAACCAAAGTGTGGATGGGGGAACCAAGTGTATTTTCATGAGCTGAAAGAGAAAAAAGGACTAGTGTTTGGCAGCCTTAGTCATGGGCCAATAGGAATGTATGAGGCTAAGAGGGACAGCATACTTAAGACACCAACTGAAAGTATCAAATATATCCTATCAGAACAATTCATTTATGGGTCTATCCAGCACACTGAAACCTGCTGCAGAAACACTATATTGCCAAAAGTATTGGGACACCCCTCCAAATCATTGGATTCAGGTTTTCCGTCACATTTCCTTGCTACTAAATATTCCACGGTCACCTGTTAGTGTTACTATAACAAAGTGGAAGCAACTCGGCTACGAAGTGGTAGATCGCATGAAATGACAGAGCGGGGTCAGTGCATGCTGAAGCGCACAGTGCGCAGAAGTCGCCATCTGTCTGCAGTCAATAGCTACAGACCTCCAAACTTTGTGTGGCCTTCAGATTGGCACAACAGTGCGTAGAGAGCTTCATGGAATGGGTTTCCATGGCAGAGCAGCTGCATCCAAGCCTTACATCACCAAGTGCAATGCAAAGCGTCGGATGCAGTGGTGTAAAGCACGCCGCCACTGGACTCTAGAGAAGTGGAGACGTGTTCTCTGGAGTGACCAATAAAGCTTCTCTGTCTGGCAATCCGATGGATGGGTCTGGGTTTGGCGGTTGCCAGAACGGTACTTGCCTGACTGCATTGTGCCAAATGTAAAGTTTGGGGGAGGGGGGATTATGGTATTGGGTTGTTTTTCAGGGGTTGAGCTTGGCCCCTTAGTTCCAGTGAAGGGAACTCTTAAGGCATCAGCATACCAAGACATTTTGGACAATTTCATGCTCCCAACTTTGTGGGAAGAGTTTGGGGATGGCCCCTTCCTGTTCCAAAATGACTGCGCACCAGTACACAAAGCGAGGTCCATAAAGACATGGATGAGTGAGTTTGTGGTGGAGGAACTTGACTGGCCTGCACAGAGTCCTCACCTCAACCCGATAGAACAACTTTGGGATGAATTAGAGCGGAGACTGCGAGCCCGGCCTTCTCCTCCAACATCAGTACCTGACCTCACAAATGGTCCAACATTCCCATAGACACACTCCTAAACCTTCTGACGCCTTCCCAGAAGAGTTGAAGCTATTATAGCGGCAAAGGGCGGAGCCAACTCAATATTGAACCCTACGGACTAAGACTGGGATGCCATTAAAGTTCATGTGCGTGCAAAGGCCGACGGCCCAATACCTTTGGCAATATAATGTATGTGCAGACATCTCTAGGTGTCTGCCCTTCACACATGTAAATACTTTTTTGTTAAAACTGAGTCACTTTAAAGGTCATTAGTACTGCCTGACCGGTAACAAATTAAAATTCAGTAATAGACATGCCAGCTATAGCAATGTCGATAATCCAAGCCAAAAAACTGGTCATTTTATGAATGCATCCGGAAACACTGCCAACAATGTATTTCAATGGCACAGAAATAAAAGGACAAAAAAAACACTGTACATGTAAATTTCACAAACATAGGAAATCTTTAGTCACTAAGCATAAAAAAAACACTCTAGAACGAATGTAAAAGTATATATAGATATTCTTCTATATATGAAAAAAGGTAGACAAACTGACAGAACTTGTAAACGTGAAAAAACAAAGTATGGCTTGTCTGCTATTTGCACATTATAGCTGCATTGGAAAGGTGCTGTCATTGTGCTTATTTATATAAGGCAAAGATGACAGAAAGAGTTCAATTCATGCTTTTAAAAAAAAAAATAAAGGGAGGACACAGTTGGGCCTTAAGTATAAAGAACGAGGACAGTCTGCAACAACTAATTCCGTTCACTTTCAGAACCCAACTGATTGCAGGAATCAGATTGTGAACAGAGGCTGCGAGTAACATAGCCCATTATATTCCTTTATAAATGAGGCCTATGACAGCTGGACAACTTGTAGCTATAAAATTGATCACCGAGCTCCACTGTCAAATTGTTAAATCAAAAACATTGCCCTCTGTTTAGAGTCCTTCAATTCTTGAGTAGATCTCATGATGATATTTTATGCTTACTGTAAATATATTGAAGAGAATTCATCAAGAGTGGAGCAGACAGAATCTGGAGCACTTGGCCATGGAAACCAATTAGCAGTTGTCCATGGGATTGGTTCCCATGGACAACTGCTCCAGATTCTGTCTGCTCCACTCTTGATATATTCCCCCCATTGTAAACAGACGGAAGACGATCATCACCTTTGGTGTTATTTACTTACAAAGAGTAACAGTCTGCAGTAAGGGCTCGTTCAAACCACATTATCTCCAGACCAGACTGTTTCCGGACCCAAAATGCATCCTAATGTATCTCTAATATATTACTGGCCTCTGTTCACACCAGCACAGTCTGTTCCAGACCTGAAAAATACTGCAGGGTTCATTTTGTCCGGTCTGGAATGCGCTGGAACGCATTAAAACCGCATACAAACACACCTGAAAGCCCATTTGAAGCACACACAAAAAAAAAGCCAGTTCCGGAACTCAGCAAAACACAATGCACCGCCAGATCTGGTCCAGAAAATGGTGTGAACCTGGCTGAAACCCCACAAAACTATCTTTCATTAGTCTTCCTGCATACAACTACTGAAAGCTAAAGTCTGAGTAGATGTTCGGTTCCAGCAATACATAACCCCATAGGTGTACAACCGTTTATGAACCAAAAGCTCTTCTACTGAAGGAAGCTCTGGGGGGACGGGGGGGGGGGGGGGGTTTGTGTAGTCTACAAAAAAAAAAAACAAGGGGACGTGCACAGCGCTGTAACCCATACAAACCACATCAGAAAAGTGGTTTCTCCGAGTTACCGTGCTCTTACTAAATAAGCCCATGAATATTTTGGACATGATTATACAAATTTGGGGGAAAAAAAAACAAGAAAAGGGGAGTGTTATTTAAGTAAATGTATCTAAATAATACAAGTGTACTATAAAATTGTACAGCTTCTGTATAAAAATAAATACTGCAGATTAGTATAGTACTAATTATTATACATCAAAAAGATATGCATGACACATTTTCCCTTTCTGGAAATGGAAGTAATACTTGTTCCAAAGTATGGCTTGCTTTGAACCAATGTAACCGTTTGAAAACAAAAATTAAATTATTGCTTTTTTTTAACAAGTTGTAAATCCTATACCGAGGCATTGCATAGAATCCACTGGATGCACCTTATACATGATAATATCCTGAGGGTGCACATTTACAGTATAAAAAGGTCAAGCCACAGTAAATGCAGCCGTCATGTCAACTGCGTTGGTGAAATTGACCAAGTTGCGCAATGTATTGCCAATCTTGTATGCAAAGACTTCATAACATAGTAGAATTGTTTTTTTTTTTCTATAAAAGTTTGCTCGATTTCAAACGTGGATGACACATTACCCCTATAAAATGGTATTTAAGAGCCCCATCAAATTAAAAGATAAAATGTTGATATCATGTAACATGCTAATTGGGGACTACGTGAGGGTGGAACTTACTAAAAGTTTAAGTTTATGGTTAAAAGACCTCAAGATTCCACCAAAATCTCCACAATATGGTCTATCTCATTCATCTCCGCTTTGCAGTGACTGTGTGGAGCTGCCTGTGAGGACAAGCTGTCCAACATTTCACAATGACCTAATTTAGAATTTCCCATCATTCCGGTCAGTACAGTATCAAGATCATAGTACGAAGTGTCAACTTCTGAAAATAAGTCTTCCATGGCGCTCGCGTTTCTGTTCTCTAAAGATTCGAAAATATGATCTAAAGACTTCTGAAGGTGTGCCTTGTTTTCCTGCGGGCTCTCAACCTCCCAGAATCCAGGGGAGTTCTGCAAAACTTTTACAGGAGGCACTGGGGATAGTTCGGCGATCTCCTGGGTCTCTTGGACCTCGAGTTCTTCACTGTACGTGATGTAGCTTTCATCAATGTGTTTTGATTCATCCTGCTCTTTGGAGGATCGGCAGAGAACATCCGTGGAAACCAGGCGCTCCAAAGGAGCTTGTTCTAGTTTGTGAAACACTGGCCAGCTGCCGTCTTGCGTCATTTCCTCTTGTATCTGCCGCACCGTGTTAGCGATTAGCACCGAACGACAGAGATTCGGCTCCACCAACATGTGGCAAAGCTGCAGTTTCACTAGAGACATGTCTAAAAGCGACTGGCGCTCGAGGGTGTAAGATGGAACAGTTTTCAAGTCAACCAAAGACCCATCGATTTCTTCGGGGTCAAGGCACTTTCTCTTGATTCCTCGAGTAAACATTGTAATCTGTAAACGTGTAAAAAGAAGAAAAGCATAAATACAAAGTTAAAGTAAATACACTAACAGACGTTTGCCACACACACAAAAACAAAAGTAATAGGAGTTGCATGACTAAAAAAATAAAACAGTCTGTCACAACCACTTAATGTCCAACATATGAAATGGATACCTCTTGAGAAGGCAATTACAATGTTTTCTCCGGGTGTGTAGTGCATCAGTAAATGAAAGTGGCATAAAACTTTGGCACAGTCCATTTCTAGGCCAATGACAGCTATAGCCTGCACTGGAGAATGCATAATGCTTCAGTTTTTAAATGCCAAGGCATCAGGAAACACCGAGTCTTAACTCTGCACTGCACAAAATAAATAAAAATAAAGCAGTTAAATATACCGGGAACTCATGTCAGAAAAATAAAATACAGAGAGCAGAACCAAGTTACAGAAATGTTTTAATGCACCACTATATACACCATTTGAAAATAATGTACCTATAACAATCACAGCTACTCCTCCAGCTGACTATATGCACTGCAATCACGTAGAAATGAAAGCAACTAGATCTCAGAGACCTGATCACGGCACCAATATGCCTTTGTCTAAATCAGTGGTTCTCAACCCGTGTAACCTCATGACCCACATTTGTCCTTGATCATTAAGCGATCGAACTGTGGGCGGGAAGTGCGTTTGGGGTGCCATTCAAATTAATGACAACGCAACACAACTCCCACACCGTAGTGTGGGAGGTGGATGGTACAGCACTTTAATCACACATTACTGTTCGATTAACGTACTGTACTAGTGTGAAAGGGCCCTCAAAAACACTAAACACACCCACAGACATCTCACACTCGAACAAAAAAAAAAATTACACCCCCCCCCTTTTTTTTTAAAAGATCCGGCCTACTCTACGAGAACTGGAGCGGATCCTCAGCCTGGAGTCCAGTGTGGGGTGCTGTGCTGTAGCTCCATCCTTATGTGCATTGCTTGTACAACCCCCTTGCGCGCCCTGTAGAGGTGCTGAGAGGCAGAACGTGTGGCGTCACTCCGGTCCGGGCACCTCTACAGGTAATGCAAGGAAGCTGTAAGCAATGCATGTATGGATGGAGCTCCCTTGCAGCCATAGCTCCACCCCACCTTAGCATATGAATGGCTGCTTGGCACGAGAACTGAATGTGTTGCGCTAAGAGGGAGGCTGAGGAGCCTCTCACCTAGAAGGCACGCGGCGACCCCCTGAACACGGGGTAATGGCCCACTTTTGGGTAACGATCCACCAGTTGAGAACCAAGGGTCTAAATGGTAAATCCATCACAGACCCATGCAAAAAAACTATTGCAACTGGCTGCCTTGGATTGCAGGTGTAGCTAATGTAAGATGGGCTCTACATTCTGTGAACTTGCTTGATAAAATTCCCTAAAATGTACCAAATTAAAAAATCTGCTTGTACAGCTGTCATTAAAAGGTTAATATGTAGAATCACATTGGGATGAAGCTACGCAAAAGAACTCCCAGTGTGGATACAGAAATGGTACAGGACGTTAAAGGAGTAAGTCTATGTGAAATAATATGAAGGGTAGGTAAGGATTAAGAACAGAAGAGTTTCATAGTTCACCATATAAACAGCTGTTGAAAACCTAAGTCGCACGTCGTAGTGATTCAGTATTCAGTATAGCACAGCCGGCAAACCAAAGAATTCAGAAACTGACAAAGCCGGGTAAATATGGCCAACTGCATACGTTTTGCCTCAGATGTTTAAATGAATAAAGAGTAAACATGTTTACTTGCCAGTTCCCTCCATTGTGGTCAAGTCGTACTGCAAGCCTGAAGCAGCAGCTCAGAACACAAGACTGTACTGTTCTTGCTTTTCCATCCTTCCAACAAACCAGCCAAAGAATCAGATTACAAGTGACGCAGAGCAGAGCGCAGACCAGAGCCTACCGTTCTTCCTAGAAAAGCTCTACGAGAAACTGGCTAAAGTTTCACTGTGTTCCAAGAATCCGAATCATCAATAACAAGTGTATATATTATAGAATAGCAAACAGCAGCTACACCGGCAATTACTTCTTATGAATGAAAAGTAAAAACAATCTTGTGGTGTAAAAAGAGTGAATTTTTATATTCTATAAATGATTTTTTGACTTCTTATGGAGTCCTTCCATAGATAATATTCTATAGGTGACAGGTTCACTTCAAGTACTTACATTCCTATAAGGATTTGATCATCCATTTCCCTGCTACCTAAAGGATTTGGTTCATTCTTTGCTCCTGTGACTTCACATTGCAAGCTTTCTACTGCCATTTTACAGAGCAGCTCATGGGCCTTGTTCACACCAAATGCAGAGCAGATCTGCTCAGGTTTCTGCACACGCAGTGCAGTGGGTTGTGCAACGTTTTTGCTGCGTTCCGGGCCGTTTTTGGTAAAAAAAAAAAAATTACTTTTTAAGTTTATAATGGGCTTTCAGTGTGTTTGCATGCGTTCCAGAGCAGATCCAGAGCATGTAAAATAGGGCCTGCTGCAGTTTTTTTACCTGCTCTGGAACTGCACACTGCGATGTGAACTGGAGCAAAAAATACCATTGGAATACATTGGATGCAGTTTTGATCCGGTCTGCAACTGCTCTGCGCTTGGTGTGAACAAGGCCTTAGTGCACCAAAGAAATGTTTAAATGCCTGTCAGGAAGCACAAAAGAGAAGTCAAGACATCAGGCTCCAATGGCAGCCTGTAAAATGGAGGAAACGCAATGGAAAATTATACCCGGGAACACAAATGCACTTTCTATAAAGAGAAATGTTTGTGTGACAGAATCTGCTGTTCTGAATATGGGACAGATTTATTTTTTTCTTCCACATATTACACAGTTGTTTCAAGTCTAGTGTCATAAAGTACTGCAGAGGACAGCTCTGTACTGAAGACTAATATTGCAGCAAAAGCTGATTTTTAGAATGTTATTATTGGGCTATTATCTTGAGTTCAGCTTTATTGTTTGAACAGCTGCCCCGTCTAATCCATGGAGGATCATACCCGCTAACAGACAGGGAGGAGTGGGTGTCCCTCCTCTGATCATCCATAGAGGACCATACCCGCTGACAGGGAGGAGTGGGTGTCCCTCCTCTGATCATCCATAGAGGACCATACCTGCTAACAGACAGGGAGGAGTGGGTTGCCCTCCTCTGATAATACTGCCACGTGTTTTCGCCCCCGTTCACACCAAGGCGACATCGTTTCAGTGCAGATTGCGTGCGGTTTTATAATGCGCGTTTTCACCAAGTCACCCGTTTTTGTACGCAGACCTGTGACATATTGATGTAAACGGGAAACTCGCAACAAACGTGCACAATAATTGTGCCGCGTGTTTTCTATTGAGTCTATGGGGTCAAATTGTGCTGATCTGCCCAGAAAAAAAAAAAAGCTCATGCAGTCCAGCGACAGGCATTTTATTTTTTCTGCGTGACTCTACACTTATTTGTTTAACGGGGGCTATAGGAATACATTGTATTTTTTCTGCTGTGCGTTTTAGTGTGCACAAACACAAGGGACAAAAAGCCAGAGTGTGAACGGAGCCTTATGTACAGTCCTGAAAAGCAAGAAATCCAAGTTTCCATTAAATGCTGTTAAAGTGCATGTCCATTGTCCAGCCAAAACCAGGTCTTTGTTAAGGTTCCCCTCAGTTTCTACCCTGCTGACAATTCTGTTTACCAAACAAGACGTGAGGGGAGTTCTCAGACAGAAATAATTGTATTTCTTCAGAGCCAGGGGAAGGCTAGAACCCCCATCAGCTACTTAATGGTACGTGTCCCTGTATCCGATTTTACTTCCCTACATACCTGGCAAATCCAATGTTAGCAAGACAGGAAGGGACTAGAAAATTGTTGGATTGACATACACTTTACAGTTAATCACTCTGGATGAAGACAACCCCTGGAGTTTCATCCTCCGCTGCTTCACCTCTTGGCTGTATGTAGAAAACCTGAAACACGGTTATCCTTAAAATGTCCTGGTCACATCTATGCAGATTTCATACTGCATGTATGAAGTGTTTTATGCACAAGAGGCCCTTGCTGGAACCTACAAGCATAATGCAAAACATGCCTAAAGACTAGGGATGCACCGATAATGGTATCAAATGCTCCGATACTTAGGGAAACCCTCTGACCGGCAGTGCCCCGAGGGAGCATGGAGACGGCTTCCCAGCCAACCAGGTAGCTGGTCAGCACATCATGAACCTCCTCCTGGCAGCCTGATTGGCTAGAAATCCAGCTTCATGTTGCCTAGTGACACTGAGGCAGCCTGGCTTCCTGACCAGTCAGGAAGCTAGGCTGCCGCACAGTGCCACGAGGGAGTGTTAAGCTGGTGTGCTTATGATAGAACAACCGCTTCGCAGGCGGACAGGAAGCCGAGCCATGACCTGCCGCCCCGCTTCCTGATTAGCTAGGCCCACGCTGCCTCAGGGTGACAGCGTTGCAGAGTACCCAAAAATAATATATTGGCACTCGTACTCGATACCAAAAATCCAGTATCGGTGCATCCCCACTAAAGACGGATGCATTCACCTGGATACACAAAACCATTGCTAAACTAAGGAAACATTCACACTTGGGGCACATGTAGTGCGGTGTGTTATATATGCAATTCAATGTCTCTCTCATTGTCATGACGTTTAGCAGAAATCCACACCAATGATGTTGCAAGCAGAATATTTGTTGATCAGGAACAAAACCTCACGCACATTGACCTTTACACTGCCAGGATCTTCCTTGAGCTTTACCCCCAACTTACAGTATATCAAGGGGAAGTGGGCAAGAGAATCACTCGCGTACCTCAATGAAAAAAAGAACGTTTGGCTTCCAGTCACAGATTTAATACATTTTCTGGGTGCCCAGTGGTGCTTGTTATTGCCCTCTACTGAAACCCCTACATTCCTGAATAGTCTGTAGTCACGCACAAAGTAAATCAGTTACATTGCAGCTTGGACCATGTTCAAAGGGCAGACGGTAGGTGCTGATGAGTTAAAACATTGAGTGATTTCTCATATTTCTTGGGCTCTGCAGCAGCGGGAGCTCCCCATTTGCACTTTTCGGTGTGTACAACTGTGTGGTCCTTACAAGGAATGCCTCACTCCCTACTGGATTAGGCATCTTAAAAAAAACAAACAAAAAAAACAAAAAAAAAAACGACATTCCTTTTGGTGAATAGGGAAGGATTAGAGTCCTCGTCAGGTTTTCGTTCCCCACCAAGGGAGATTCACTCGTATTTCTCCCAGAGATCACAGTCACCAGGACATAGCTTTACTTGCACTAAACCTTTATTTTAGTTTTGAATGTAATGTGTCAGGTTTTATTGTCACATTTCTGCTGAGGAGATTCACCCTTCTATTTCTCCCGTTCACCATTGACACAGGAAGTGATGGGAAATTCTAGAGCGGTTACCACCAAGAGAAAAGGGGAAATCCTTCAATGAGGACACTTGTTCTGGTCATGGGAATTCTCTTCACTTTAGAGAGATTTACTCATTTCCTCTTGCATCACCTGGACAGGAAATTTGAGCGATAATATAGTCAAAATATTTTAAAGCTATTTTAAACTCTGATTAAACTTACAATGGATGCAGCTCCTTGATGTTTAAAGGTTTTAGTTTGCTTCAGAATCAGCTGGTCCCCTGAGCACTGGCCCTGATATCCTGTTTTAGGGTGGTCCCTTTCTCTTACAGGGTCATAAGGAGCCACCCTTGTGTGCTAGTAAGCTGTGTCACCACAAACACACAGCAAGAAAGGGCACTCCCCCAAACTAGTAGATGGACGGTTGCTGGAGACTGTGCTGTACCTTGTGATCTTGTACTGGAGAGGAAGTTCAGAGAAGCTGAGCTGGGAGAATTAGAGTAAAAGAGTTTAACGCTCATTTCAGGGCCCATTCACATCATCCAATGCATCAACGGTGTGGTTCCATGCCATGAAAGCACTGGATCGCATAAACAAAGGTTTCCTGCATTCTGGGGCGGGAGGGGTTGTGGCGGTGCCATTCATGTCAATGGCACCACAGACATGCCTCCCGCCCACAGTGCAATTGCCTGCACCGCAACACGTGATACAGCAATGCTCTGCGTTGGGGGGGAAAAAAAGTGCATGCACGATTTTTTTTCAATCACAACGGAACACAAGGCATTGCTGTATCACACGTTCCAATGCAAGCGATCACTTTGGTCTTAAACACACGTTAATGTGAGGGAACATCTAAAAATTACAATTAGTCACTAAAGAAGGAATAGGGGGAAAGCTTCCACTGAGTACACTTTTCCTGGTGACCACTGAAACTTCTCCACGTGGAAGAGAGTTCCATTTACTTCCTTTGTGTCTACAAACCATAAAATGGGGAAAGCCCCCAATGTGGCACAAATTGGGGGTACAGATGAGGGCTTAAACCTCCCCTAACCTATCCAAAACAAAAAAGTTCCACCCATACTATAATTCACCGGCCAAAGAGTTTGCACGTCCTCCCTTTACTTGTGTGGGTTTCCTCCAGGTACTCTGCTTTCCTCCCACACTCCAAAGGCATGCTGGAAGGTTAATTGGCTCCTGTCTAAATTCACCATGTATTGTATGTGAGAGAGGTACCTTAAGATTGTAAGCTCCTTGAGGCAGGAACTGATGTGACTGTAAAGCCCTGCATAAATTGTTGGCGCTATATAAATGCCAATAATAAAAGGTGGGGGAAACATACAAAAAAAGTGGAACAAGGCCGAAACTGTGGGAGAGATCTCACAGCTGGAGTCCTTAGACAAAGAAGAAACCAGCAGATGAGTCAGCCCAACACTTCTGACTAACCCTGCTATGAAATGGCATTAAAATCAGCACCAACGTGTAGCACAAATATTCTAGACTGTTTACTAAATAGCTTAAAATACGACATATTAAAGCAGAACTTGACACCAGTCTAAACTTTTCACCAGTCTAACCCTCCCCTATAAAACTAGCCTTTCATCATTTAAATTTTGCTGCTGGCCCTGCCCCCATTCTCACCTAGACAAGAATGCTCCACTTTTCCCTACAGCCTCCTAGGATATGACATCACATACCCCAGGAGCCATTCCATTCATGCAAACAGAGGTGGTGCCAGATCTCACACATGCGCAGACAGGGGTTTGGCGCCATTGTTATTTACGCATTGTTCTGTGAATGGCTATTGGCTGCTGCCACTGTAACGTAAACACAAAAAAAAAAAAGCATGTAGACAGCAGCATCAGCGCCGATTACAAACTATTGATAGGCTTCTGCCACCCAGCATCCCTAGCTGCTCAGACGCAGGCGGCACCAATAAAGTACATTCGCTCTGTACTCATGTAAATGTTAGCACACACGTTCACATATGTGTAAAATACACACATCATATGCAGGCCCGTGAATGCAGATTTTGAGATTACAGTCATGCACATAGGCGCCTGCGGCCGTACAACGTGAAGTCTGGCGTATTTGCCCCCACCGGGGAGCCACAGATGCTGTGTTCAGCCTCCCATAGAAGTCAATGGCTGTACAGCAGACTTCTGTACACAAACCCAATCTGCAGTCAGGGGTTGTGTGTGCCCGTATGAGTCTGGCATATACCCATGTATAAGCATTGACTTCTATGGGACGCTGTACGCAGCACCAGTGGCTCCCTGGCAGGCAAAATACGCCAGAAATGACCATCACAAGCAGCCATGTGTACGAGTATTAGGCTGTGGACCAATGTGTATGGGTCCTGAGACTACTGCTGCATAAATGACAGAGTACTGTACACCAGTGTGAATGAGGCCTAAATAGAGAATCACATGTAATGGGAAACAGACTGAGTAGTATCAACGGAGGGGTGAAGCCTCTTTCAGGCTCCATTGACCCCATCAGGCGCTTCCCTCCCCCAGGGTCCCCATTCAGGGAGCGCGCGCAGGAAGAATGGAACATCCGGGCCTCCGGTGTTGACGTCACCGCATAGCTGCCCGATGACTAGAGAGAGAGGGGGGGGGGGGGGCGCCATTTTGGATTCGTCCATTGTGACTCTCCCTCCACCGCGTCCGTTCGGTTGATTTTTGCCACTACAAACGAGAACGACTTGTAACACTTCTACTACACACAAAAGAAGTGTATGACCGGGACGAAGCTTCCGGGTGTTCGGAGCGGCCGTCCTCACACGGCGTCAAGCTACGGCCCGGATTTCCCTACCGTCACACTCACCGTGCGGTGTCAGCCGGGGTCGCAGGAGAACGGCATGCACTCGGAGTCCCGGTGGGCGGGTGAAGCCGGTATGTTGGCAGAGCGGGAAGCCGGCGGCCTGTGTGCTCCCACTTTCAGCTCCGGGAAGGGAAGACGCTGCGGTCGGCTCCGCCCTCATTGGACAATGTGTTGCCAGGGAGCTGTGGAGTCCCGCCCCTCTCGGTGATTGGCTGGCGGGAACAGGCACGGGTTTCGAATCTCAGCAGGGAAGCGGCGCGGTGTGCTGTCCCATCATTTAAAGGATTCGCCGTCTGTTACAGAGAACATTCACCCAAATCCTAAAAAGTGGAAAAAAGTACATTTTTCATTAAATATCAGTTGAAAATACATACTTTCTGAGTCCCCCATCTCCCCCACACCGCCATCTTTTATAACTCGTCCGTTAAAAATGTGCCCGAGTGCCCTAGCGCAGAGGTGGGTAACTTTGGCCCTCCAGCTGTGATTTATCTACAAATCCCATCATGCCTCTGGGAGTCATGCCTGTGACTGTCAAAGTCTTGCAATGCCTCATGGGAACAGCTGTAGGGCCTTGTCCACCCTTGTGTCAGCGGGATAATTCGTTAAACACATTGCCATAGTAACTGCAACATCAGTGTCACCAATCCCGCAGTACTAACGTTGCCCTTTCTATAGCAACGTGTAAATGAAATGATTCCCCCGCTAGAGTGCTGGCTGTACATGCTCAGGATTACCGGCGTACCCAGGGGCGTCCCGAGGCCCGGTGTCACCCGGTCTCCAGACTGGGTGACAACCCGCCGTGATATCACGCGCCATGATGACACGTCAATCAGTGCCAACCGGCTGCCATCTTGGTGATGGACGCCGGCAGAGAGAGGAGGGGACGTTCACCCGGCAAGATGAGGCATGCCACCGGGTCCCCTCCTCTCTCCTGACACTGTCGGGCTCTCGGTCCATGACTGAGTGCCCCGACCTTTTAGAGGGGAGTGACACCAAAATGACTGTCAGTCATTTTGGTATCACCCCCTCCAAAGGTGTCACCTGGGTGCGGGCTGCACCCCCTCTTGTGACGCCACCGGGCGCACCCAATGCTCTAGTAGGGAATCATTTCATTCACACATTGCCATTGTACAAGGATCCCAACCTAAAATAAGTCATTTCAGGGAGGTGCCCTTCTCCTTTCAGGGAGGTGCCCTCTGTCCCCCAACCCCACATGCAGGGTGGGGGGGGTGCAACAACAAGGAAGAGAGCACCCCACCTGCAATGATGGCAGATAGCAAAGAAGCTAATGCTTCCCTTGCTATCTGCTTTTTTTTAGTATTCTGACAGCTACTGCCGTCAGAATAATAATTTTAAAAAAAAACAGCATAGGAATGAAAAGCTAGATTGCTATTGGCTAGTTCAATTTGCAATAGCAAGCTGGCTATTGCACCCGCCCTCTGCTGCTGTCAGTCAGTAAAGGAGGACCTTATGAAGAACTTCAGTTCTACCTCTACTGATTGACAGCAGCAGTGGTGCGGGTGCAATAGCTAGTCTGCTATTGGCTACTTCAATTTGCAATAGCGATCTAGCTATTCGTTCCTGTGCCTTTTTTTTTTCTGACTGACGGCGGCCTGCGGCTCCGATGTCAAGAAAAAAAAACAGAGCAGAGAAAGGTTTACTCTGCTAGATAAAGTAGAGTAAACCTTTCCGGGAGAAAATGTTTCTCTCCCGGGTGTCCGGGAGCAGCTAATAGCGGGAGACTCCCGGTGTTCTATCGAGATGTCCAACTTGTCAAGATCTCCAACTCCGTCAGTGCGCCTGCACGGCCACCTAAAAGCAGTAGCACGTTCTCTAATTTGCGTTAGTGCGCCTGCAACGGCATCCGATGGCACAAGCAGTGATGCCAGTTGGAGAACTAGATGAGGATTGCGAGGCTGCACAGGCGCACTTGGGGCAATTAGGCAAGTCAACGAGGCTTTGAAAAATACCAAGGCTGGGCACTCACACTAGCACCATCTAGTCAAAATCTCCAACTGATGTGACGTTACGAGTTGAAGATCTCGACAAGTTGGCCATTTCGACAGAACATCGGAACATCCGTGAGAGTTGAGATGTCTGATTGTATGGAAAACAGAGCCGCCTGCAGGGATTGGTAGTATGTATGCTGTCGTTACCATGGAAATGTATAAATGAGATGACTCTGCTAGATGCGCATGCACGGGACATAAGCAGCGCAGATTCCATGCATGCATGCCTATTACAGCTGACGTCATTCTCTCCTAGTTAAGAGATCCAGAAACATAGATAAGGTGGAATAACTAAAAAACATTTTTGCCGATTGTGTCAAAGGAGGGGTCCAAAATAATATCAGGAAATGTTGATAATTTGGACATTTTGTCCAGTTCGGATGAAGTAGGGGAGGTTATACCTTATGGTTCTGTTTTGCTTTTTGTGTCCAATTGGGGGGATGTCCCTTTACTTCCTGTCTTGAAGAGATAACAGGAAGTGATAGGAAATCTCTCCAAAATCAGGGAAATCCCCTCTGGGATCTATCACTGGAACGACTGTGATTTCCCCTCTATTCCTGTTCTGGTGACAACTCAAAATGTTGCCCTTTCCAGTCATGTCCCCTCTGAATGGTCAATGGCCCAGATAGATTCCAGGGGGCAATCGTGCATGAAAACTACGCGGATGGCCACGTGGTCACGGATTCGCACACCACCGCTGATCGCGCTGGCGGTGCCATCATTTTCTTTTTTTTTTTTATAAATTCTTTATTGTCGCACAGGTAGCATGTACAGGTCATATACACATACAGATAAAATCAGCTCCAACAGGTTCAATGGAAACATAAGAAAACAATCGTGTAGGTATCTGAGCCCGTCCATATCGGAGCCACACTGTGGAGCCATATAGCTAAAGAACAAACAGAGACAGAATCTCCTCAAGGATTTCGTCCGCTCCGCTGGGCTACCAATGTAGTGAACCGGTCTTCCCCCTTCCTAACGAGGCTTATAGAGCGGGACACCTCTTTCACCACACAATCTAGTGATGGTGCAGCTGCATGTCCATCGGTAGGAACAACATCTGGATACCTCGGAGGTCAGGGGGGGGAGGGGAGACTGACATAATATGGGGGGAAGGATAGGGGTAGGACATAACACAAGAGGGAAGAGAAGAGGGAGGAAGGGGAGGGGATCAGGTGACTTGCTGGGTGCCTAAATCTCAAGCTTCAGGATTCCATTATCATGCGGTATTCAGCAGTGGTGGTAAAGTCTAACCAGTAAAACCAGGTAGCTGTGAACCTGGAGGAGGTGCCCTTTATGGAACTGGTGAGATCTTCCATGAATCGAATATCGTTTATCTTGGAGAACCACAGTTTGACCGTGGGCGGGGTGACTTGTCTCCATAGAAGGGGTATACATGCCCGGGCTGCGTTCAGAATATGCACTTGGACTGAACGGGAGTAACTTTTCGCTGGGAAATGGTTATGGTGGAGAAGGAAGAATGCTGGATCTTCCGGGAATGGTGTGGTCAGTAAATTTTTGTGAAATAAGACGGACCTGGATCCAAAACGGTGTCAGTGACGGGCAGGACCAAAAGATGTGAAGCATATCCGCGGGGGAGGAGCCGCAGCGCCAACAAATGTCCGGATTGTCTCGGGACATCTGATGAAGTCTATGAGGGGTCCGATACCACCTTGTTAGGATTTTGTATCCCAGTTCCTGGTAGCTATTGCAGATGGACGACTTCAGAGAGTGGTGTAACATCTGGGAGCTTTCCTCCTGTGAGAACTGGATCCCCAGCTCCCCCTCCCATCGCTCCAGGAAGCGGAGCGGGGCCTCCAAGTTTTCAGATAGTACCATCTGGTAACATAGTGACAATGCTTTAGCAATGGGACCCGCTTCGGTGCAGGTTTGTTCAAAGGGCGAAAGCGGTTTCGTATAGGAAGTAGGCGGCGGGAGAGAGGATAGAAAGTGTGACAGTTGGTGCAGGCGCCAGGTGTCAAGACTGTCTAAGTCGGGGTCTGCAGAGGGATCCCTACGAACACGCCAGCTAGGGCCATGGAGGAAATGGAGCGCTCGAAATTTGCCCCCCACTAAGAGGCGGCGAAACGGGCCGACCTCCAGTCCAGTGGGAAAATCCCTAGCCCCTATGATCGGTCTTAAGGGAGATTGGTCAGGGGATAGTTGTTTGTGCACGAAAGCCCATCGGGCCGCCCTCCACGTGGGACCTATAGTCGGGTGTGTCTTGAGTGTGTGGGGCAAGTGTCCCTAATGCCAAGGTAGACCCGGTAGGAAGATCTTAGTTACAGATTGTTCCACTTGTATCCAGGGCTTGGTGGCGCTATGATGGCACCAATCCAGGACCCTGGCCAAGTGTGAAGCGATGTAATATAAATGGAAGTCGGGGAGGGCTAGCCCCCCCTTGGCTTTGGGGCGTCGGAGCGTCGTTAGTTTGATTCGTGGAAATCATACAAATTTAGTCACCATCGCTTGCAAGGATCAGAAAAAGGAGGGCAGAACCATAATCGGGAGGGCCTGGATAGGATATAGGAATCGCGGGAGGATGTTTTGTTTGACAACATTACATCAACCTGTCCATGAGAAGGTGGAGCGTGCCCATCCTTGAATGTCTGCCTGAACTTTATGTAGTAGTGGGGGAAAGTTGAGGTTGAAAGTGTCCGATAGGTTGCGGGGGAGCATAATGCCCAGGTATTTGAGTGCTGTGGAGGACCACTGATAGGGAAAGTCTTGCTGTAGGCGTGTCAGTAAGTGGGGGGGGATAGTAAAATTTAAGGCTTCCGACTTCTGGGTGTTAATGTGGTAGTTCGATAGCTCGCCGTAAAGCTGCAGGGCCCGGAGTAGATGAGGTATGGATATGTCCGGATTTGAAATGAAAAACAGGAGGTCATCTGCGTATGCAGCTATCTTATGGGCTTGGCCTCCCACCGTGATACCACAGATATCAGGGTGTGCTCTAATGGTGCGGAGCAGGGGTTCAAGAGTCATGATAAATATGAGAGGTGAGAGTGGACAACCCTGTCTGGTGCCATTAGATATGTTGAACACTGAGGAGAGCGTCCCATTGACGCATACCCTGGCTGTTGGGTGGGAGTATAATGCCAGTATCCATGATAGCATGCTTTTGCCCAGCCCAATGTGTTCTAGAGT